GCATTTGAGACAGGGATATGAGAATAAGTGTGTTATATGTTGAGGCAGTCATGTGCAAAGAAAAGGAAAGGAGAAGGAAATACTCAGAAACATTGCACAGCTTCAGATGGGGAACTGCATGAATGACACTTTGATTTATGACACAGAACACCAGAGGGAAGCAGGGGTTTGGAGATGATGAGTGAAATTTACTTTAAGTTGTCACAGGTATGTCCTACAAACTCTATAACCAAATCTACATATAAATTTAAAAATAGAAAATGATTAAAATGACCACTTTATGACTGTGAAAATGAAGATGATATGAACATGAAGAAATACAGCTTTAAGGCATGTTATTTTAAAAGGTAATAGAAAGGTAAAGCATTGTAAACTATGAAATGTGCAATGTATGATACAAGTTTTCAGAAATAATGGTGAACTCAGTTGTTAGGGGCTGGAGAAAAGGCTTAGCCAGTACAATATTTGCTGTGCAAGTATGAGTTTGATCCTCTGCACCAATGTAAAGCCAAGGCCAGGCACAATGGAGTGTGTTTGTAATCCCTTCACTGGTGGAGAGCAATTGAGGAAGGCACTGACATTGACCACTGGCTTCCTATACACACACACACACACACACACACACACACACACACACACACACACACACACATTTGAACAAATAACACACACATACCTACAGAAAAATAAAGCCATTTAAATATTACCATCAAAAGATTCATCTTCGACAAAAGTTTCTCGTTAATTAGAAGTACTCATGGGGATGGGTCAAGGAAGGAATATGATATTTTGAGCTATAGAATTTGCTGGAAATCTTAATTGCTTAATAGAAGAACTGCATACGATAACCTTTTTAGAATTAAATAAGTCAACAAAGTTGGCTTCAGACACAAAGAGACACAATTCACCTTAGGTATCTGGACCAAGACACAAGGAGTATGACTTGAGAATATCCTTTTTCTGCAAAGAAAATGCAAGCATGGAAAGTTTCTCTCAACACAATTGACATGCAATCTTTGTGTTCAAAATAATCATAACGTGGGGAAAAGTAGTACTGTTTCTCCTTCCTTCATTAAGCAATGGCTTGACCAACAGCAGCTGCCTCGGCCTTGACATCACAAGTAAACTTTCAAAAATGGGGACCGTAATGTCAGGGCTACCATAAATACATCTGCCAACAAACACACTACTCATCCCTGCAATTACATTTCTAAAAACTCCTAATTTACAATGTATCCAGTGTTTGTGTCTGTGAATTTTCACTACTTAAAGAGGCCAAATGCCACACTTAGTAGTTATTTCTGCTTTGCATTTAACATGCGTATACACATTAGGAGACTGATATCTGAGCAATGATTCTCTAACGTGGCATACTTCCACATATTGGTGGGGTTTTCTAAAAGCTTATGCAAACGTTAAGATGTTGGATACTTCATCAATGTAGATTTGGGACAATCAAATGAAACCCAATTTCAAATCCCACTATGAGATACGATAGGGTATAGCTTATATGTTACTGTCCTTTCATCACAACTTTTCAGGCAGTGGGTATTTACATTTTCATCATGTGACACAGTTTAAATGTCCCCGAGGGTTCCCCTAATGTGCGCACATGCGCATGTGCACACACACACACACATGCGCTCACATGCACACACGCACGCACACGCATATGCACACACACACACACACACACACACACACACACACACACCTGCTTATAGAAAAGCAAATACTAGCCCTTTCGTAGGAGACTGAAGTGGTTGGGAGTTCTTGAGTGATTCTATTTGAACTACAACATGCTGTGCCTAAGGGAATACCAATATTTCCATTCATTTTAAATACCCTTCTCTTTTGCACAAGGGGCATAACAGAGATTAACGCTTTTTTACCTTTATGCTAAGAAACACCAGAGCTATTTGTAAAGCATTGCATGCTGCCTCCTAGTGGTGAAAAACTTTCATTTGTTTTGAAAACTCAACAGCTATATGTGGAGGGGTCATGAAAATTTTGGCAATTTGCTAGAAGTTTCTTAATGTGCAGTAATAAAAATGAATTTAAAATTAAATACACAATGAATCCAAAACCAAAGTTAATAAAATATTATTGTATTTGTTTTTGGAATGCTGTGGTACATAATGCAAAGTAAGGCTGCCTAAATTTATAAGCCTCAAACAAAAATACACAGTGGAGAATTAGAAAATTACAGTCTTTTTAAAGGTGTGAGAGTATTTTTTTTTTAATCTTTACATTTTCGTAAAGAAAATTCTCATGAATTTGAATTTTCTGTCTTAATGTTCTCTATTTGATGCTTTCCTTTACATGTGTAGGAATATATATTTTATTTAAATTTCATGCTGGGCTAAGAGAGTCACGTGAGATTAAACTAAGCAAGGCTATTCAGCTGTGCAGTCTCCTACTGACTGCTACTTTGCATTGGGCAGAACATCTGGATGGCCACACCACTATTTTGTTTCTTTGTTTTTTTTTTTTAACCTACCCCAGCACCTCAACAAAATTTTGACCAAATATATGAAAAGAACATTAACAGAAAGTTGAGGATAGAGTTTAAAGAGCTTTGACTAGGCACAGAGCCAGAAAGAGGACTGAAATTGTAAAACACATATTCAAGTCTTACCTCCTCACAAATTATGTGATTCCAGCCTTTATCTCAGTGATGCGGTTTCTCATTTGAACAAAAGGGTCAACTCCTAACCTACAGATTTTATAGAAAATATAAAGGTAGAATATGCGAAAATCCATGCTAATCACCAAAAAAATAACAGACTGTGTGTACACACAGGAAATACATATGAAATTTAAGAAGTGAGGTATTGGGCATACCCATCACTGCCTGTAGAATAACTTCTTCACAGTTAAGCCACTGCTTTCTTCTCAGTCCTCCCTTTATTCCTGAAGAGTTTTGAGCAACATCTATGCTGATGATCTTAAACGATCATACCTCTTTAATTTCTATGATTAAATTATTTTCACTGGTTTAGATCTTGCATGTGTTGTGTGAGGGTTCATCCTTGAACCCTTTTGCTCACTCCGATTTTCATCCAGACAATCCAATCTGATTCAAGAGACTCAAATTATCATTCCTTCATAGTTAACCTCCAAACCTATTTGGGTGCAGGCTCCATTATAAGTTCACTCATTGACCAAATAGTTCCACCTGGATACTATTCATTCTAGATAAGGTGAAACTTGTTATCCTTCCCCTAATCCCAAACCTCCTCCCACCCTTGATTGCCACTCAGTAGCTGGGTAAGTAAAGCTGGGAGTCATTAATAATTTCTCCATTCTTCTTCACACCTCACTTCCATGATCTTGTGAAAGATCTATTGAACTCACCTCTGAAATGTCCCTCTAATTTACGAGTCTATTATTTCATTTTTTAAATATCCCAACTGAGCTGGGCGTGGTGGCACAACAACAAAAAGGGGACTTTGGAATTACTGCTGCAATTGTGGCCACCATTGCCATTTCCGTCACTGCTACAAGATTTGCCATTTCTCAAAATGTCCAGACTGCAGCTATTGTAAATGAATGCTCAGAGAAAGTTAGCCAAGATTTGAACCTCCAAAATAGTTTAAATACTAATGTTCAATTAGGAATATTGACTTTAAATCAACAATTGGCTTTAGCACAAGAACAGGTTGATTGATTATGGATTCATCAACAATTGTCTTACTATCATTCTGTTTGTGTGACTCCTGGAAATGTTAATGCTCCTGATGGAATGTTACCTTTGTCAATTTCACTACCCAGTTGAGCCATGCTATTAAGGTGATTAATGCCACTCATGTGGAGCCTGTAAAAGCTAGTGATTGGTGAAATTTGATGTCTCATGTGGGGGTTATGGGTACAGCACTGGTCAGGGTCTATTGTGTTATCCCTACTCCAGGTTCTGGGTATCGGTGCCTGCATCTGGATTCCACAACCAGTACAATAGACAGGTAAGTGTCACCCGACAGGCACTCATGGCCTTGGCAGTGTAACCTGAATCAGCCTAAGTGTGGCTACAGATGCTGGAGAAGCGATAACCAATGACAGGCAACTCCTAGTGGGATCAATGCCACCTAAGACAGGGAATGATGAGAGCATTTCCCCATGATGGGTGAGGTATTTGTTTCCCAGGTGACCTAAGACAGGGTTTGCTTCATTTAAAAAATAAAAAGGGAGGAACTGTTGGGAAATTTAAGTACTTGTCCCTTACAGTGCTCTTCCTCCCCACCCAGCTGTCGAACTCCCATGCTCTCAAGGTTGATCAACAAGGTTGTTCTCATAACTTTCCGGTGTGCAGTGCCTTGACCCCAGGTGTGGGTGGTGCATGATTTCCTCCTATGCTTAGCCCATCCCCCTGGCGTGGGTATATGAGCCCATTTCTCTCTGTAATAAATGGCAGCAGCTTCCTCTTCACTTCTCGTAGTGGTCTGTTAAGTTTTTCAATCCCGAAACCCTCTGCCAAGTTTGGTACTCTGGCCGCTCATGCATGGCAAAGGGGTAATAAAGAAACAATACATTTTATTTAGCCATAATGAAATTATCAAATTCATAGAAAAAACAATGGGTCTGGAATTATGTTGAACAAAATAATCCAGACTCAGAATAACAAATATTGCATGTTCTCTCATATAGAAATCCTGAATTCAATGTTTATGTGTACATACACATATATGTATATACACATGTATGTATGTGGGTATAAGTGTGCACACAGGTGTTAAACCTAGAAAGGGAACATATGGGAAAAGAGGACTGAGCAAGGAAGGGGCTGATAGAACACATTAGTTGTAGAAGGGCTCCTGGGAGTGGAAGGTCACATAAGGGAAAGGAAGAAAAGGGAGGATCAGCAAAAACATGATGTTTGAAAGTGCCATAATAAAACCTACTCTTGTAAGGCAACTAAATACATACATACATACATACATACATACATACATACATACATACATATTCAAAAGGAAGTGTTTATCTCTCCTACTGCATTTGACTCAAATGGTAAAATTGACTTTATTTTGATTCACTGTGCTATAAGCCTCATGCAAAAAAAAAAAAAAAAAAAACGAACTGGATAGATCTGGTCTTGATTTACAGACAAATACAGAGAACTTGGAACTTGGGGAATAGCATCACATTGATTCTTTGGTCAGTTGCCATAAGAATTAAACCAAGATCATCTGGCTGTGGGTAATAGTGAAAGTATACCTTTTGTAATTTTGGTTTTATATAAATCAAAAAGCTAAAATTTTCTTTTGCAAGCAGTGTAGAAGGATGCTCAAAACAGCGATGCAAAATTCCAGTCATGAACCTATAAAAGACACAGAAGTAAAACATGAGTTTCTAACAGTGTTCTTAGAACATTAAGGTAGGAATCATAGAGTACAGTATAAACTAAAGACATTGTAAAGAGTAAGTGGATGGGGGGTTGGTAGGGAGAATGGGAGGATGGGAAGGAGAGGGAACTAGATTGGTATGTAAAATAAGATTGTTTTAATTTAAATAAAAATTAAAATAGTATGGCAAAAAACCATACAAATTGAGTGAAACTGTACAGAAAATTGAATATGTGCTAAAGTGTCAGTCAGTAGTAAATCATTGTCATGAAATTGCTTTATAGAAGTCTAAAAGGACCTCCTTTTTGTAAATATTTAATAGGAGCACCAACACATTCAATTTTGTTTTGTCCGCATCTGCTTTTGCTTGGCAGTGGCGGAGTTGACTGGATGAGACAGACACTGCATACTCTATATGACATAAAAGATTTACTGGGTCAGAGAGATGATGACTCAGTGGGTAAAGGCTCTTGCCATCAGCCTTAATAACCTAAGCTGGATCTCTGGGAGCCATAGAGTAGCAGAAGTGGACACACTACTGAAAGTTATCTTCTGCCTCCACACATGTACCATAGCATGGGCACTCATGTGTGTGACACACACACACACACACACACATACACACACACACACACACACACACTACAAAATATAATTTTGAAAAGATTTACTATCTATCCCTTTAAAGAAAAATGCCATTTTTTTTTACCACCTATGGTAGTTAGAAAGTTAGTTTATATGTGTGTAGATTTCTTATTCTATAATTTAGAATCTTTATGCAAACTTTCACTATATATTTCATTATTTAAAACAATTTGAAATATATTTTGATCATATTCCTCCCCTTCCTACACACCCAAATCAAAGTTCTTTCTCATAAAAAACAAACAAACAAACAAACAAAAAAACTCAATATAAGAACCCCCTCCCCAAACCAAGAAAACTAAATTAAACCATAGTTATGTGGCCTTATCAATTCTGGTCCATTGATCAACTTTCTGCTCTTATGTCAATACCATGCTGCTTTTACTACTGTAGCTTTGTAGTACAACTTGAAATCCAGGACGGTGATACCTCCAGCAATATTTTATTATTCAGGATTGTTTTAGCTATATGGTGTGTGTTTTCTCTCTGTCTCTCTCTCCCTCTCTCTCTCTCTCCCTCCCTCTCTCTCTCTCTCTCTCTCTCTCTCTCTCTCTCTCTCTCTCTCTGTGTGTGTGTGTGTATTTCCATATGAAGCTAAAAATTGTCCTTTCAACATCTGTGAAGGCTTGTGTTGGGATCACATTCAATCTGAGATTGATTTTAGAAGTGTGGCTATTTTTACAATGCTAATTCATTTTTTTTGTTGTTGTTGTTAAACAAAAATAGTGAAAGGTATAAAGATGCTGTAATAGAAAATGCATAGATCAAGTTCACATCAGACATAAGAATTCTTTATACAGGATTTTTAAAAAGACTAAATTACTTTAGAAGTTTTAACATAAGCCTATTTTATTATATTCTTCATTAACTGGGAAAAGAAACGAATATTCTTCCCCATAGAGTATGTTCCAGAAACTTTTTCATACCATTTTTTGTCACTTAAAAATCAAAACTTGATTATTCTTATAGGGAGGAAAGAATATTATTAAATTTAATTGCTTTTTCAATGAAGGCAGGGAAAGGCTGCAGGGAGGAAGAGAGGGAGAGCTGAGTGGGGAGGGCACATGGGAGGAGACTGGAGAGACCACAGAGGGGGCTGTGTACCTCATTCTCTAATGCATATGAAGCCAATCTGTGTACCGAAGTTAAGGCCATCTCGAACATGGGAGAAAAACTTATCAGGATGGCAGGATGTGCAGAGGTCAAGATCTCCCTTCTGGTCTTGAATATTCTGTGGAATAATTCCTCCTTGTTCTAGAAGAATCCTTAGAATAAAGATTTTTCAAAAGATGGTGAGAGTTTATGTTACACGAAAGATGTGTGTTTACTTGAGTGAACACATTCCAGGAAAGATCTCAGAACGACGGAAGCTGCTATTTACTTCACAGCAGGGCTGGTCAGGAAATGATAGACTTTGTCAGCATTTATCACCAAAGCTCACATACGAGCTGTGTAGTGATCCACACCGGCCTGCAGACATGTGCTGGCTTCAGGGTGGTGTGAGGAGAATTAAATGCTTGCTTGGGAAGACGAGCATTGGTGTACAACACTCATTTTGTTCTGACAGGACACACTTTTCCCATCTAACCTTCCCCCCCCCCTCTCTCTGCCTATAACATTCATGGTATTTTCTGTGATACAAATAGAAAAACACATGCCTTTTTTTAAAATGGGGTTTTCCATGTATGTGCATGTTAGCTCCTTAAATATTTGCTACCTGAATAGTTGTGGGGAGTTATTTACTGTTCTCGAAAGTAATTCGCATCTCAGAAACAATACGCAATACTCAAACTTGTGGCCCCACGTTGAAATCACACACCTGGTTGCTTTCCGGATGTCAACATAGGGATTCAGTGAGTCCAACTGCCGTACACATGAAGGATGAAGATTATGAAACGAGGTTGCCGATTCTCTGGGGAGAGTAAAACAGCAAGGTCCCACGGAAGGTCCCAGAACAACAATAATGTCTTTCAAATTACAGCCATATTCTGCTATCATGGCATTCACAGTAGCCATAGCTACACCCAACAAAGTACCTTTCCAGCCTGGAAAATGGGAAGAAAAAAGGCAGAAGAAGTTAAGTATGTAGACTTTCAACCACTTTTATGTCTCAGTGAAAAATGAACAGCTGTGGTTTGTGTATTCAAAGTTCAGGTATAACAGATGAGCTACAAAAGCAATGACTCCATTAAAGTCTGTCATTAACATTAGATGCACTACACAAAGCACACGACAGAGCCGACAATTAATGGGAGTTTCCTTTGAAAAATGGTATTGACGTTTTCTCCATAGGAATAATGCCCTTTTATTCCTTTCTCCCTCTTTCCTATTAACCAGGGCAATGGACACATAAAATGTACCATTTAATTCACCGGAGTGCCCAACTCAGCATTAACATTTGCAGGGGTACATTCCTAGGATTCTTTCATCTTAGAAATTTGAAACTATATTCACAAATAATAACTTCTCATTTCCCTATTCCTGTAAAGTGTTTGTTTATGAATTTTAGTTACTCTGTGTACTTTATGTGAGGACTATCATATTGAATTAGCCTTTCTGTGACAGGCTAATTGAATCAGGGTCTAGAAGGTTCACCCATGTTGTGCCATGTGGTCCGAGTTAATAGACTTTTTAAAGATAGACTACTGTGTCATATATGTCGTACCACAACAGTTTGCCACTTACTCATTTGTCGCTGAACACTTAGGTTGTTTCTACCTCATGGATCTTATGGATGAGGATGCTATAAATGGAGATGTGAGTTCTTTCAGACATAGAGCGAGAGTTCTAGGTCACATTACAGTTTTATTTAACTTGTTAAGGAATCGCCATACCATTTTTTAAAAACTTGAGATAGGGTGTCACTATGTAGCTGGAATCCACTATGAAGATCAAGCTGGCCCCAGACTCCAATATCCTCTGCAGGGATTAAAGTGCCACCATATCCAGAATACCATTTTTTAGGTGAATTTTCACATCTTTTGTACGCATCATTCCATTAGTAGCCACTCTAACGGATGCATGAAGAGATTATGGGTCTGACTTAAATTTCTTTAATTGAGAATGATGTTGATTGGCTTTCCTTATGCTTCTTAGCTATTTGCAAATAATTTTTAGGGAAAAATTCCATTCCTTAATTTCTGATTTTCCCATCTCTACCTCCTGAGTACTGGGATGACAGATGTGTGCCACCACACCTGGTGTGAATGAAGCCATTGGACAGTGTCATCCATGCCAAGTATGCATTCTATCAATGCAATTGCATCCCCAACCCCTTTACCCATTCTTCAGTCCAGATGTTGTTTTACTATACAATTGCAGGTGTTGATTAGTGATTAACCCTTATTAGATATAATGGCTTGCAAATAATTCCTGCCATCATGTGGGTTTCCTTTCTACTCCACTGATTATCCTTTGATTCATAAACATTTTTAATTTAAATAAAGTTCTATTTACCTGTCTTTCAATTTCCTCCCTTTTCTTGGATACCTAAAGGCTATATTGCCTAATTCAAAGGCATGGATACTTACACTGCTGGGTTTTTTGTTGTTGTGGTTTTGTTTTATTTTGTTTTGTTTTCCCTAAGAGTTTTATAATTTTGCCTCTTACAATTTAGGTCATTGATCCATTCTGACCTAATTTTTTAAATACTCTCATGGTAAGGGCCAGAATCATTCTTTGCGTGTGGGTGTCTGCTTTCCACAGCTCACTGAATAAGCAGTTTGGCATCTTCATTGAAAAGCTCTCAATCACAGTTCAGGGCTTCTTTGTAACTTATGGGCTCTCTATTCTATTTTGTTGGTTTATATGTTATTTTTAATAAAGTGCTATATTGTTTTCAATATATAGCTTTGAAATGAGTTTTATAATTAGAAACTGAAATGTCCAACTTAGATCATCTTTTACAAGATTGTAGTGACTATCCAGGGACCCTTAAAATTAACATACATAATTTAGGATGGATTTTTTTCCTGTACAAATGCAGTTAGGGATTTCCTAGGATTGCAACAAATCTGCAAATGATTGTGGATAATGTTTACATCTTAATAATTTTGTCTCTATGAACATGGGACTTCTAATTATCTCATACTTCTTTAATGTCTCAATAATAGAGTCTTGTGACACTAAAATTAATATTTCCAGCTAATAGTCTCCTTTCACAGACCTTTCTACTGTCTTTTTATTTTATTTGGATTTCATGGTGACTTCTAAGATTAAGCCACTTTCTTCATTCCTGCTTCCATTTAATTTCCTAAAATAAAACCTAAAAGCATTGCATTTTTTCTTCCTTCTTTTATTCTGATGCAAATTCAGTTGATTTAGTTGGACAATGAGTTTCCTTACTTCCTTTTTTTTCACCATTCCATATACCTGTCCTTCTAAAGCTAAACACTTGGGTAGAGAGATCTTGGAAGAGATGGTAGAAGTAATACATATTTAAATAATAGAGTCAATGTGTAAATAATAGAGTCAATGATGTGTAATCGTAGAAAGAGGACTAGAATGAAATACTGGGTTGTTAAGTTGGTAGATTAAGCCTCAATAACAAAAACAGGAAAGTGTTGTGGTAGAAAAGACTTTAGGAAAAACACGCTGAATTTTTAATATGATTCTGAGATACGTTTGGAAATACGGGCAGTGATTTTCAGAATGAAACAACTTAGCACAGATATTTTGATTACTGTCAAGACTTTTCTACACACAGGGATACCTTTCTTCATCAGAAACCTTCCTTTATCACCTCACCAACACAAGCATATTTACACATACACAGCTAATTTAAAATATACAACATGCCTCATGTTCCCATTCCCTGGTACCCAGACATCAAGGATACTCAGCCAGAGGCAGCCACACCTTAGAAGGTCTTGAAAAGCACGAAGGGTTGTCCTTTGGTTATTATAAAGACTATGATTATTATGCAACATTAAAAACTTCCAGGGCTGATGATAATTCAATCCGTATGGCAGGATTATCTTGCCCTATATGTTAAGAGAATATCCTTGCTTTGAAATAATGACAGACTTAAAACTACAGATTCCTGAATATCACTAGATACCACCTACTTAGGGAATTCTACTCTGAGTCATCTAATTTGACTGGTATCCTCCTTATATCTGTTCCTATAGTAAGAGTATACAGGCTTCATCCTCTCACAGAGCAATGCAATTAACAGCTTTCTACGTCCATCAGAAAAAAAAATTACAAAATACCTTGTACTGCAAATTAACAAAATATTAATGGTTTAATAGGAACACCTACCAGAGTGAGCAACCCCACAAGCTTTCTTCACAGGATCTGCAAAGACTATAGGTATACAGTCAGCACCAAGAGCTGTGATGGTGACTCCTCTCTGGTTTGTGACTATTCCATCGTAAGATTCAGGCTCCTTCCTCCCCATTGTCCACACGTCATTGGCGTGATCAGTCTAACACAAAACACAGGGCAAAGATGTTTTCTTATGAGCGGCTTCTTATGTGTGGGTTTTTCTAAAAGTACTCATTTGGGCACAAAGTTGGGAAACATGGTATGGCTATCTATCCACTTCTCTACATAATAAAACATCAACTATAACATCTCTGCAGATGTTCAGAGGAAAGAAGACTCAAAAGTCGTGAAAGCTCCAATTAGAGATGAGTAAAATCTCTACTTTAGGTACTTCTCAGAAAAGGCAAGTTTCACTTTCAGGAAAAATGAAAGTACCAAATCAGGGATTCCTCCCTCCCCCTTTTCTTAGACTCACATAAATCCAGAATTCTTCAACATATTTTTCTCCTCACTTTGGACCCTAGTTCTTCCCAGTCTTCTCTTAGTAAGTAATGGCCCAAACTTTTTTTTTCCTGATCATCCAGGGACCTTTCTTCTATATTGAAAGAGTTGTATATTGTATATTCAATACACTCTTCTATATTGGAAGTGGTGGAATATATATATATGTGTATATATATACACACATATATTTACTCAAAAGTAACTATATTTCTAGAACTGAGGAGTTCTAGGTGAAATACATATATACACACATGCATGTGAACACACACACACACACACACACACACACACACACACGAATATTTGCTCTTCAGGCTATAATGTATAGACGAAATAATTACAGCATTGTTCTAAAATGTTAGATGAAGCATTAGAAGCAAAAGCTAAATAGCTTAAAGTTTAAATAGTTATTGACCTATTGAAAAATCCAATATTTTGGAAAACCGAAATATGTAACACAAATTTACCTTTATTCGGTAAAATTTCTCTGCATTAAATCCTGCAGCATTCGCCAACCTGCGAAGATTTTCTTGGACAACTACTTTGGGATCTCTCCGTTTGGAACTACTGAAAAGATTGAGTGAGCTAAGAGTTGGTATGTAAGATATGCCACCTGTTCTTGTAGTAAATCCGTGTATGAAGAGATCTGTTGAAGATAAGTGGTAAAGAGTAAAAAGACATTCTACAAAAGACAGTCTCTCCGTCAGGCCCTCCCTGATCACTCACATCCTGCAATTATTTATGTGGTTTCTCATTCTGCTCCTCTACCATGCGCTGTTACATACTGGGGTCACCCTGTGGGGCTGCTGCTCTTTGAGGGTACTTTTATTTCATCGTCTATTATACATAACAGCATACAGCTCATGATAAAACTACTTATCCAAGGAAGACTGATTTTTTTTTTTTTTTTGAAAGTTCATCCTCTGTCCAAATGCCCAAAAGGCTGAGGTTATTGTTTCTGCATCAAAGATTTTCTAAGACAGAAAAATCGTTTTTTGTTTTTTCCTCCCCCCCCCCCCCCTTTTAGGAGGATTGGGAGATTTGCTTTAAAGCCGAATTTGCATGGAGCCAATTTGTTTGTTTGGAGTGGCTCTGATGACATCATCCCTTGATGCTGCCCACCCACATAAAACCCCCATGTTGCAAAAGATGAGCAGTTCACAAGAGTCAACAGAAAAGCGAAAAACAGGAAGTGAGCAACTTCTGAAGAAAGCCTGGGTTTCCCTGCAGTGCAAAGGACAAAGAGTGTTGAAGATACCTGGGATCAAAGGAGATGTGATAATACTTAATTCCCCTTTCAGAGCTGGCAGGCCTCTCAAGTAAGTTTCTATTTCACTCTGGATTTCTTCCGGTTGATGAATTGTGGGTGCATTTACTTCAGTGACAGGTTTTAACAGGCTCTCCCTCCAAGCTACCTGTAAATCTTCAAACTCAAAATCATAGACGGCAGTGAAGAGCTGACCAATAAACGCCTTCATGAACATTTTCCTGTGCTCTGGGACAACAACCTTAATGTGGCTCAGATTTTTTTCATCAATTTTTTGTTTAATTGCATACAAAGAGGCAGCCACACTGGGATTGCTAACAGTCTCAAAGTCTCTCATGACAAGTGGGAATCCATTTCCCGCTTCCAGGTCACAAAGATCGTGTTCCCTATCCCTTTCTTGGGTGACATTACTGCAACTCATTATGCAAAGGAACTTCGCCTTGGGGGCATGACGGCAGTGAATGCTGTTCAAGGTCTTCAATAATGTTTGATGGCAGATTTTCTGTGAGTCCAATTTTAAACCAAAGAGATCAACCAAGACTGCTTCAGCCATCCTTCAAACATGCACTTTTCTTCAAAGATGACTTTTGGGCCAGATCAGCTGTAAAGAAATATTATCACAAATAACAGTCAGTTGTGCCAGTCTTCGTAGAGGTACAACAGAAATACCTGGTGGGCAAAAAGAAAAAAAAAAGCAACTGTGCTAACACGAAAAGTAACCAGAATAAATCTAGAGTCCAGGCCAGAAAAGAGATTAAGTCCTGCTTTTAAATTATAGGATGCCTGTCGGATTAGATCACATCTTGTATGAAATACTGAGGCCTCACCTTTAGGATGTCAAGTTGAGCAGCATCAGCAAATCTGTCTGTCTCTGTCTCCCTGTCTCTGCCTCTCTCGTTTTGTGGCTTTTGAGACACGGTTTCTCTGTGTATCCCTGGCTGTTACGGAACTCACTCTGTAGATCAGGCTGGCCTCGAACTCAGAGATCCTCCTGCCTCTGCTTCCCAAGTGCTGGGACTGAAGGCGTGCACCACCACCACCAATCTCGTTTTGTTCGATAGAAGCTGACCAACAGGATAGGCTTTCCCCAACATTTGCACAGCACTCCAAGCTTGGGTTGATCACAACAGCCACTGCAATTTGGACCAGGGGCCACTACCGGCCACTTGCTGATTCTTTGGCCCATTGTTTACCAGTCCTCCCCTCCCCGTCCCGGCTGGAGCGCCCCCACCCTCTGCTGACCCCTTGCCCCTGAATTCCTGGCCACCCCTACTGCTGAGCCCTCATCCCCGAGCCTGCCTGGGCCCAGCCTGACCCCCACTCCCCAGGGCACTGGCGCTGTCATTCATTCTTCCAGCTGTGCAGGGCCAGCTGGGGACTAGACTGGGCGCCTGCAACCCGTCCCGTCACCGCGGGCTCCGCCCCTGCGTCCCGGACTGGCTGGCACACTCACCGCGCTCTCCTCGGCAGCCGGGAGCTGGGAGAACGGCCCCAGAGTCGCCGGGAGTCTGCGGGAGTCTCCGGGAGTCGCCCTCCGTCCCGCCCCGCAGCGTCGGTCCCGGCCTCCGGGCGGCCTGGGCTTCCCGCGGGCGTGCTCGCCCACCGGCTCGCTGTTCCCGCCGCGGCCGCGGGGCGGCGCCCGGGAGACGCCCGGAGGAGCCCCTGGCGGGGGATTCCCGCGCCGCCGCCCAGCAGTTCCGGGTCAGCGGGCGCCGTCGCCCCGAGGCTGCGGGAGGCCGCCTGAGGCGGGGGTCGCCGAGGCGCGCGGGGCCTGCCCGGAGGCGAGCGGAGCAGAGCAGAAGGGGCGTCAGTGTGCCCAGCCTGTCACGTTAGCGCTTAACGCCCTCCAATCCCGGGCTCAAGGGAGGGCACCCTGGAGACTTCTGGTTTTTGACTTTTCCTTTAGTTTTCAGACACAAGTGAGTTGATTCTCATCCCCCACCCCACCCCCATTTCTGCTTATTCTGTGCTTTCATTTGGGATCAACATCCTTGACTTCCCCTTCACTTGCGTTGACCACATAGATTTCCCATAGGCCCCTTTAAACAGGACAGAATGCATTAATTATTAGAGTGATAATACGATCAAAATTCAGTATCCTTTATCCTCCAAGGGTTTAATGGTATTTATTTTAAAACTACAGTATGGAATCAAGTTGTAAATGGGAATAAAGCCAGCCTTAAACATAGAAGAGAATGTAGGAGAAAGCATATGTTCTGCAGCCTGGGCTATGGAGGAAGGAGCGGGTCCTTCGTCTTCCTTGTTGTGACTGTGGGTGCTGAGGATGCTTTTCCTGAGTGAGAAGACTCTAGGGTACCTGGGAGTTTACAAGAGTTCTTGTAAGTGTGCTCCAACCTCGACTTAACTCTAGAGACCACGGTAACCAGCCCGCATAGGACCCACTCTAGTATACGTGACCACATTGAGTGGGTCACGTCTGGTCTGTATTTTCCCAGGACACTTTTAGAAAGCCTGAGTGGTATCTGGTCCGACAGACATGCTTTGGCATGAACTTGTTTTATGTCAAGCAAAAGGAATGTTTAAACGATTATTATTTACAAAGCATGTTTAGAACGTTTTTCCCCCTTGTTTTCTGCACAATGGAGAGAGTTAGGATTCTTTCATGCCAGAGCTCTGGCAGTAGCAAAACTTTCCAAATAGTGAAGTTGTTAGGGAAGTTGCTATAGTGTATTTGCATACCATTTCCTTCACCATCTAGTCGGTCTGAACCTCGTTTCTTAATATCTTCTTTCTCATACTGCTCAAGAGCGTCTCAATCCTGTTTGCACATCTGAACAAGTAGAACTTAAAAAAAAAAATAGTGTGGGTACCCCACACCCCAGTTGTATATTGGATCAGAGTCTATAGGAGTCAGGTCTGGGCATGTTTTGTTCTGCCTTTTTGTTTTCATCTTACAGATGATTCAGATGCATAATTCGTTTTGAAAAAAAAAAAAAAGTCTGCCTTATTCTCAAGCCATCCAAGCAAAGGCTGTTCTTTCATAGGCCACCTGACTACATTCTCTACATTTGCTGTTGTTTTTGTTGTACTTTGAACACGCTTTTGTCAGCTTAACTGTTCCCAGTTGCTCAATACTCTTCAAGCTTAAACATAACCTTCCTGGAGGCAAAATAGCTTCCATAGTGTTTTCATATACAGGAAGTCCTCTCCTAGGTACGGTCTGAACTCACAACCAAGACATTTAAACACTGGATTGTATATTTTATAAGAAAGAAGTTATGGCATATAGGTTATACCTTTGTAAAGTCCTTCAGAAGAGAACAAAGCTAAGCCAGAAAATTGTGGGCAAGTGTAGCACAGCATTGTGAAATTTCTGTAATCTGGCCTCATGCTCATTTGCCAGTCAACTGAGAAGGTTCGGAGTCTTTTTGCACATGATCAACTTATCTTTTGCATAAAACACACAGCTACCTCTAAACATAAAAGAGTCCTAAATATTCTGTTCCTTTAAGGGGAAAATAATTAAAGGCTCTCTTGAAGCAATCTGAATGCAAACTTATTCTCAAACTTATTCTTTTATAGTTATCTCACACCGTTTACTGTGACTTTTGAAATTATTAAACATAGACTTCAGGGAAACAAAGACTTTGTTTCTATGCCATATAAATGGTTTGTCTAATAATTAAGTTATAAAAGCATAGTATCAAGTATAGCTGTCATGAACAGGTTTGAGAACAAACAGATAATTTATGGTATGGTTGTGTAGTTCAACTGGTAGGCCCACTCACCTGAGTAGTTTCCCAACCAGGACCATTAGGCACGTTATGGGAATTAACCACCTAGGATTTACAAAGGGAGTAGAAAAGGTAAGTTGGTTAGAAGCCAAGTGTAGATAGGCTAAAAGCATCCACTCCACCCCTCTGTTTTTAATTATTTGACTATATGTCATAGAAACAGCATTTGGGAGGCTTGACTGTTAAGGAAAACCCTTGGAAAGTCCATATATATAAAGTTTTATGACATAAGTAGAAATCTTAAGATCTGTGACCAATTTTAAAAAATTGTATTACCTTTATTTATTTTATGTGTGTGTATCTATGTATGCTTGTATATGTGTATGTGAGCTCGTGCATGTAGATGTCAAATGAAGACTTGCTTTAGTTAGTTCTCTTCTTTCACTGTGTGACTCTCAGGGATTGAATGCTGGCTCTCAGGGTTGGCTGCAAGCAACTTTCCCACTGAACCATCTCACTGGTCTAGACAGTTGTTTTTAAGCCATTTGAATTAAAGGGTATGGGTCTTTACAGAAAAGGCCCTGCAATCAATGCAAATTCCTGTGTTACTAGCCCCTGTTAGTTTGCTGGGGCTGCCAAATCAAAGTACCACAAGCTGGATGATGTAACAAAAATTTATTTTCTATCAGTTACGGAGACCAAATAGTAGTAAATTGAAGTGTTACCCCAACCTTGCACCATTTTGGGTTTTTTTGTCCTTCCATCTTTCTTTTTAATTGAAAAAATATCTTCATATAATATATTCCGAGCATGCTTTTCTCCCCTCCTAAGTCCTTCCAGATCCCCCCTATCCACCTCACTCCACAACCTCTTCTATCTCTCTTTCGAAAACAAATGAACAAACAAAAACTCAAGAAACACACACATACAATCCTTAAAAAGTGTAAAACTGAAAACTAAAGCATACAAGCAAAAGACCAGTAAGACAAAAACAAAACAAAACAAAAAACCCCAAATGTCCAAGCAAAGCTATATGAGATCAAAGTCTACAAAAACAACATTGAGTCTGTTTAGTGTTGACATCTACTGCTGGGCAGGGGGCCTGTTCTGAAGTGTGGCTTACATGCCCAGTGAGACTCCATTGGAGAAGACTAACTTTTCCTTTGCAAACAGATGCCAGCTGGAGATGGTTCTTAGTTAAATGTGGGATCCCATGTGAACTGTCCCCTCTTAGTGTTGGGACCTACACTGGCTTGAAACTGTGCAGGCCTTGTGCATGCTGTCTGCGTGAGTTTATACGTGCTTCCGTCCTCTTGTATCTGAAAGACATTGTTCTTTGATGTCATCCAGTCCCTCTGCCCCCTCTTCCATATAGGTTCCTGAGCACCTAGGGGAGGGTTTGATCATGACATCCCGTTTAGGAATGTGTGTGCCAATATTTTCTACTCTGCCCACTGTTCAGTCATGGGTCTCTGTGCTAGCTCCCATTTGCTATAAGAAACAGCTTCTCCGATGATAGCTAAGCAAGGTACCAACCTGTAGGTATAGCAGAACATTATTACAAGTCATTTCATTGCTATCTTTCTTTAGCTGAACAATAGTATTTGGTTTTCCCCTAGATCCATGACCTGTCCTATCTCAGGTTCTTGGCCATCCTAGGTGCTCCATGAGATTCTATCTCATAGAGTGGACGTTAAATCCAATCAGAGATTGGTTGGTTACTGTCACATTTGTGTCACTATTACAGCAGCACACCTCACAGGCAGGTTTATAACTGGGTTGATGATTACCTTTCTCCTCTGGTAACATACAGAGTACCTTCTAGTACCATGAACTAGTACTAACCAATAGAGGCAAAGCTTCTATTTAGGCACCAGCTTGACTTCTCTATGTTCACTGAGGTATGTAAGTGTTGTCTTCAATGATAGGGTCTTACATTGGCTTGTGGAGACTAACCAATGGCCTAAGCAAAAGCCTGAGATGTTTAGGGATGTTCATGGAATCCTTCTGGCTAGTGACTCAATTGATGGCACTAGAGGTTCCACTAGGTGACATCGTACCCCCACATTATTTGAAGAATCTATTAAATTCATATATGGATATGTTTTAGGAAGCTTCTTCTGTGGATTGTTCCCATACTCACTTTAGTGTTAGCTGTCTCTCCCATATTCCTTCCATTGCCCATATCTTCCCTACCTCCCCCCATCTAATCCCCCAACTCTGCCCCCTCCATGACATCTTTCCTTAATGACAAATTTTATTTCCCCTGCCTTGGGATATGTCCCCCTTCCCCCAAGTACCTCCACCCAGGTCAGTAGTCAACCTCTAAGGTTATACTAATTGCAGAACACATATGGGAGGCTTAAAGGTTTAAAAACTAGCATCCACATATAAGAGAAAATATACAAACAGTGTTTCTTCGTTTTTTTTGGTGGGGGCAGGGGTGCTGAGTTACCTTAGTCAAAATGTTTTTTGTTTTTAGTTCCATTCATTTTCCTGCAAAATTCTCAATTTTGTTTTGTTTTATGGCCTTTTAAATAACTTATTAATACCCCATTGTGTATATATGCCACATTTTCATTATCCATTTATTATTTGCTGGGCATCTAGGCTGTTTGCAATTTCTGACTGTTATGAATACAGCAGCAATGAATCTGGATAAGCAAGTATTTGTGTAGTAGGATGTAGACTCCTATGGGTATATGTCCAGGAGTGGTGTAACTGAATATTGAGGAAGATTAATTTCCAGTTTCCTGAGGAACTGTCATATTGATTTCCATAGTGGTTGTACAACTTTGCACTCCTACTAGCAATGAATAAGTGTTCCCTTTTCCCCACATCCTCCTAGCATGAGCTGTCATTTGGTTTATTAGGCTTGGCCGTTCAAAATGATGTAATATGAAATTTCAAAGTA